AAGTGCTCCCAGGCGTTACAGCTGATCACGCGCAGAGACAGCACGCAGCCTTTGGCGGCTATCTAGGATCGGGATGCTCTGGGGGTGGATGGAGTAATGCATCACTTGCAACGCGACAGAGCGCAGAGCCGGGGGAATAAAGGAAGACCAAGGAGGAGCTGCACCGGGAAGGGGATCCTGTGAACAAGCCAGCGACAACCCACCGTGCTGTTGGCAATCTTGGGTCCACAACAGCCAGCCCAAAATGGCACTGCGCCTGCAACTGCACGTTGGTAGGGGAGAGAGGTGCGGGGAGTCAAAGAGAGGTCCCCAGGGTGCCAAAGAGTCCCCGTACCAGGGCTTGGGGGTTAAAATGCTTTCTCCCCACGTTTCTGAGAAGCATTTTTCTTGTCGACCCTGGGACAGCAAGGGTGAGTTTTCTGCGCTGCCACAGGCTTCCTACATGGGCCAGAAAAAAACGCTCGGTGTCTCCGTGTCTCAGATCCCATCCGTAGTGCAGAGATGATAATCCTTCCCCGCTTTACAGGGATAAATACATGAAATATTGTGACACTCAGGTAACAAAGAAAGAGGTGGGGCATGGAAGTACTTGACACAGAGGCTGCTCTGTAGTTTTCCCTGTTCGCACAAGCAGGCTGAAAAACACGAGTAAGAACAAACCAATTTCCATGTAAGCGTTACCCGCCATCGGCAGCAGGGCTCTGGGGCACACCAGGTGCGTCTACACGAGACGCTTACTACTCATTAGCCTACTGACACTGTGCGTCACGGCAAAAACCACGCTAATAGCCTCCCGTGCAGTGTTAGTAGGCTAATGCGCAGTAAGCATCACTATATCACCATGCGCTGGTGCTACTGCGCACTGCCTCTGGGTACTGTGCATTTACTTAGTACTTTTTAAAGGAAGTACTAAACTAAATGTGCAGTATCTAAGGTGCATTAATGAATGTGTAGACATGCCCACTTTGTACCTAATTCTGCAATCTCCAAGCAAATGCAAGTCAGATGCCACCTCTCCCCTGCAATCAGGGAAGGTTTTTTGGTTTTTTTAACAATTGACAACTGTGAGATATAGTGTGCAGTGCTTTAATTGCCTTTCGCATCGTGACCCTAGAAGCTGTGCTTAGGTCACCTTTTCAAGCTTTTCTTCCCAAACAAGGAGAGAAACCAAAACCAAACCCACAGCCAAGAGTCTTTCCTAGTCGCGGGACTCCAGGAGCTGCGCGTCTCGGCAAGAACACCAAATACCACAAGACATGCAATGAATCAGAGAGCTGGCCACACGAGCTTGCAACCTGTAGCACTTGGGTGACTAATAACACGATTATTAGCTCCGTAGGCTGCAGCTCTTTGAGGTCGGAGCTTTTATATGCCTAGAGGGTGCCATGTACACTTTGGATGCTGTATAAATAATAACCGTAAGAGCACACTCAGTGACCCAGTTCGTAGATCCTTCATGGCTTCTGGCAAATCAACAAGTACACAGTTTAAAAATACAGGACTGCTGGGAGACATGCTACTGGGTCATTTCCATCTATTTAAATGTCTTCAAACCAAATCACTCCTACCATTGAACTACATACACATCCTTTTTTTTTTTTTTTAAACAAGAAACTAGTAATTTAGTGCATGGCTTGAAGAAAACAAACTTGAACTTGTGCGGTACTTTATTTACGGTTAGTTTAACCGTGAGTCCTGCAGAGTTTTATTTTGTTGGCTTTCTTTTTATTTTTGGTGACAGCTGCTATCAGTTTGAAAAAGGGGAAGAGATGGAAAGCATCCTGAAGGTAAAAACCTTCCCAGATGGGATTTTTTGTCAAAGTAGATCAATTTTTTGGCCTATCAACCCTGACAACGTCCCTTTAATCTGCTGAGGTGCAGCGTGTAGTAGAGATCCATCCAAGTAAGCATTTTGACAGCATCTCCCAAAACTGAGCGGTGTTCTGGAATAAAACGAAACTGAGAATCTTCACGGGGAAAAAACCCAATGTTTTCGTGTACCTGTAATCACAGTTTCTCTTAGCTCTACAGAGTAGTGTCATTTCTCTTTAAAAATGGTGCAAAGAACCAGGAGTCGGGGCGGTCAGGTTCGGGTTTTGCACTATTTGGGACATGTTCCAGCTCCTCCTAGCAGCTCTGCCCAGCTCTTGCAATCACTGCCCTTCATTTCCTGACATCTTGCTATTACCTGCTCCATATTGCATGCTGTTGGCAAAGGTTTGAGAAAGAGAGAGCTGGCTTGTTTCGCAGGTGAAGAGGTCTTAAAAAAATCAGCCTCTGCTTGTTTCCCATTTGGGGGGCTGGCACTTTTTGAAGAAATAAAAATAAAGCGGTAAATAAGGAAGAGAAAGGCTCTATTTCGGCATGGCTTCGGGGCTGGCCTATTATCAAAGACAAGACAAGCAGCTGTTTTGGACAGAGTCAAACAGCTCCTTCCCAGCAGTGGGATTCAAGCTGGAGGTAATTTGAGCTTTGTGGCACCTAGCCTTAAATTGTCTCATTTCCTGTAATGGTCCAAGCTTTTAGAAGAAAACACATTTCACCATCTCTTTCTTTCTTTGCAATTCATTCTTGAGCCTCCTCCGTATTTTTCTTTCCTTTGACGGAGGAGTGCAGCTCTGGAGCACCGAGCCCCGGTGCGGTGTCTGCCTTGTAGCTGGTATAAAGACTGAGGGCGTCTCTGTAAATCCAGTCCGTGGTTCAGCCGTTCTGTCTCTGACAGTAGCTGGGACTTCAAAGAAGAGGAGAAGGACCTTTGTGGGATCAGAAGTTATGAGATAAATGACCTCCAGGGAAAGTGTCCTCCTCTCCCAGAGAAGGGCTTAATGCCTTCATGCTGGGGATGCGGGGTTATAACCTTTTCCAAACTTGCAGTTTCTTTCCTCTCTTCCTCTTTCCTTTTCTTAAATCCTTTAATTTTTTTATACATATTTTGCCTTATTAAAAATCTGCACTTTTCTCCTCCTCTAGCATCAGAACGTGAACTTAGGATTCAAAAGGCTAATCCTGAAGGGAACGAGACAGAGGCAGGCTTTCCTAGCGTGAGCCTCCTATTCATAAATGCACACCTACTCCTGCCTTTGGTCCGAGGCGGCATCTCTGCAGCGTGGATTAATGACGTGGGGATGGAAAGCATCCTCCTGAAATTGTGCTAAAACTACCCACAGAACCGCTACCAGAAATGCTGTTTACTGAGAAAGAAGCACCCATTGAAGTCTGAGAAATGCCCAAAAGGTCTTTAGGAAAGACAGGATAGAATATGTGCATGTATCATTTATAATTGAACAGCGCCTGTAATCCTCCTTGACAGAAATAAATAGGTAACTATCGTGCTAAGTGCAATGGGAAAATACACACAGATTTGAAGTTTAAGAATATGATTATGTTACTTCCTATGCTAATAGGCCTCTTTCACCTTAGGGGATAGATGGTCTGAAGGCAAACAGAAAAGCAGAATTTCTTTGTTTACCGTATACCCTGTGCTATTTTTTTCTCCCCTAATACGCCATCCTGGGTGGAATGAATGGTTTCATTGCAACATGATAAAAAAAAGAAAAGCCAAGCCTTTTGTATCTCAAGAAAAGGTAATGCACAGTGACCATATCCTGCAGTCATAAAATTACACAATAACACAAGGTGCAATACATTCCCCGAGGGCGTCTATTTTGGGAAGGAACTAAAAGCCAGGAAATACAGCTAATATTTACACAGGCACCTGCCTCCAATGCTTAGAATAGGAAATAACAAGGATCTCGGTTCTCGACAGTGTGACCACGGCTGATCAATGATAGACTTTTTAATGGCAACCTCAGCACTTGTTAGTGGCAGCTCCCGTAGTCCCCTAGGCTTGCCACGTGATTGCAAGCGTGCCTAAGAGTGCTCTGCTACCAGCCCTTGGCTGTGTGTCAATAGGAAAGAGGCAGAAAGGCACAAACCCCCCCCAAAACAACCACCCAGAAGCCATCGTGTTATTCGAACTCAAAAGACCAAAGGTCTGAGAAGCATGCATAGCAGGGCTGTGATAACAGAGCTG